TATGAATTGTGAAGTTTTCAATTGTTATGTCTTTTTAGCTAATTTTAAAATTTCATTTTTAGTAATTGAGCTGCAAAAATTCGATAAATTTCAAACAAAGGAAATACTGGTAATAATTTATAAGCAGTACCGACAGAAGCCAGTGAAGAATTTAATTCAACTTCGTCTGGTGAAATTCCTCTGATCTATTTTAATATTTTTGTTTAATTAAAAAAAGTTCTATATGCATCCATGAAATGTTTCTCATTGTTATTCTCTACAAGTCAAAAATTCTTGCTTTTTTAATTAGTGAAATTTGAATTTTGGAAGATGTTATCTTAGCCGCAAAGTGGAATTTCGAAGTATAAATATAATTAAAATTGTACAAATGTAAAAGTTATATGCCGTTAATGTACATTTTAATTTATGACATATATTAAAAATCATCATTCATATGTCTTTCTTTCCTTACCTGAGCTAATTTTCTTAAAAGATAAAATTGAAACGTACCTTGATAATGCTTATTTATGATATTTGTATAAAACTATGTTATAGAGTTAAGAGCTTCGAAAATTCAATAAATTCAATTTCAAAAATGCATAAATCTGGCTAGATTAAGATATTAGAAATCGTAATTTCTTTAGCTTTAAAGGAAAATGGTTTCTTAATTAAATTATATCCGACATTAAAAAGTAAATGTTTTTTTGAATGTTTACATATTTCGTTAGATATTATTTTGATCGAAAGTAATTAGTGTAAGATTATTTTAATTTGAAACTTGTATCATCGTTATCATCATATTGTAGATATTATTTGATATTTCAGACAGGATATTTTATCTTTATTTCCATTTCATTTTATGCTATTAGTTTATCAATACCATCAAAAAACTACGGGATAATGTGAGCTGTCAATTAATTTGACCATTTATCATTTAAAACAAATTTTTCTAAACAGCGTAAAGTTATAGTAAATTTAAATAATACTACCAGTTTATAAAAGAGCTTTACCTTCCGAGGATAGAAGAAAGTGACTCAGAATAATTATTTATTCCTATTTTCAGTTTTCAATTACAAAGTTAAAATATGTTCGTAGCTAAGAACGAGTAGATTTAAAATGTATATGATCTTTTTTTGAATTTAATATCTCAATGCTTTCAATCTTTCTTCCATCAAATATCTGTATGTAATTCTGCTCGATATATTGGATGTACGTACGTGTATCATTAAATATTATAAGCAAAATATTTTATGGTATAATTTTTGGTGAATCTATTTATTCATCCTATCATATACATTTATGATTTCATCTAACATGTTTTTAACTTCTTTTTTGCTTTCCCGATCTCACGTGATGTACGTTTAGCTTCTTCTTCTTACATTGAATAATTTTTAGTTATTAATTTCATAATTCATCCTTCTCTTCTTCTTTTCCTTCTTCAGTAAATTTACTACCAATTTTATTTTCCTTAATTATTATATTATGATTTATAAAATAGTTAACTAACAATAATAATTATTTTTTAAATTTTATTTAAAGTGCTTCAAATTAAAAGAAAAGGATATATACTATATATATTTATTGGTGGATAGAAACTGGCATAATTTCTTGATATAATCAACCGCTAATTACCAATCATTAAATTACATCAAATCTCTTTGAATATTCTTTGCCGATATTTATTAGCATTCCTTTTTTTCTTTTTCAAATAGCTCTTTTTAAAATGTTTGATATTACTTAGCAAATTTCCATCTACCATTTACTCACTTTCTATAATTTGTAATTTTAATGCATAATTTTCATTTAAAATTATTTAGTTCTTTGTTCTTTTCTTTCTCTAACTATCTTCCAATATACTATCTAGTCATTTTTTTTTCTTAAATATTTCAATTATGATACGGGTTTATGAAATTTAATGCCTGAAGATTTCAGTCTTTTTCATCCTGTATCAATAACTATTTTTATCATTGTATTTAAAGATCTCTAAAATAAATTAAAACAACGAGGAAAAGCGATTTTCTTATTTTGTATTTTTTTTGAAATAAACTTTTGAAAACTTTTTTTAAATTCTCGGCAAAATAAAGAAGAAAAATAGATGTAATTATTATTTTTTTAATAAATGAAAAAATTCATTAATTAATTTCAGAGAAATTAATTTCTTCATTATATGAATGAATTAGCTAGCTGTAAGGAAGGTATTATTATTACCTTTCTCTCGTGATATAAGTGTTTCTGTTCAGTTAATCTTCCTCCTATATATTAACATAATCTATAAAATTTGTTGAATTTTAATTCCCCCCCCCCTTACAATAGAAATTTAATCATCATCATATCCTCATTTCTTTAAAGTTCCATTTTAATTTTATTATTGTTAGAAAAATGTTTTTTTTTTTAATTTCATATCATATATCTAATTAAAATTAAATTAATAATGAATAGATTGTTTAAAGTTATATAAATAATCATTCTAATTTGCTCATTGTTTATTTGTTCACAAAATCGATAATCATTTTTTGATAAGAATACTTGTAATGGCTTCATAAATGATGTTCTTCAATCTTTTGAATTTATGCATAAATGATATTGGAATAATTTTATAAATGGAAATTGAAATCGGATAAGGATATAATATTAGCAACAGAATGATAGATTATTTATGATATAACAACATTTACTTATTGATTGCTATTCGTTGCCGATTGCAGTAGTTATTGATATTAGCCGATAAAATTAATGATATTATCTGATTAGGATGAATAATTTATTAAAGCAATCATTGATTGCTTTCCGGAAAATTGTTATTTATCCTGGAGAAAAATCATTTCATCACTTTCATCATATTGATCACATCTTAGCTTTTTTTTTTGATTCTCGAAATTCTTCTCTGTCAGTAATTTTGAAAATTCAAAATACGCCTCTCATATTGTCTGTTCTTGCTAAATTGATGGTTCCTTTTTTCATCGTTGCAGAAAATATAATTGTAATATATTGACAGACGTTTTCTTCTTTCCTCCTCTATATGCTAAATTATGCTGAATTGATTTTTCATCGTTGCAGAAAATATGATTGTATTATATAGACAGACGTTTTCTTCTTCCCTCCTCTCTATGCTAAATTATGCTGAATTGATTTTTCATCGTTGCAGAAAATATGATTGTATTATATAGACAGACGTTTTCTTCTTCCCTCCTCTCTATGCTAAATTATGCTGAATTGATTTTTCATCGTTGCAGAAAATATGAAATATACACAAAATAAATATTGCAATAGTTCATTTTTCTTTTCTTTAAAATTTTTCATTTTTACAAGTTTCTTTTAAAATACATCATTTATTATTTATTGTCTTTAGTATAAGAGAAAAAGGAAATTCAACAAATACATTATTAATATGCAAATTATATTATTATTTATACATTATAGAAAGGTGATGCTGCAGAAGTTTGCAATTCAATTTGTGAAATTTTATAACGTACTCCTTTAAGCCATTGTTGTAGTGGTTCGGAAATTAATGATGGTTGATTTTCGCATGAGTCTAATTTTAATCGTAATTTGGTGGGAATTTGAGCATGATAAGCGGTTAGAATTGGCTGCCACATAGCACCTAATTGACCAAGTACTGCCGAATTACACTGTCGTAATGCTTGCATTGTATTGAGAAAATGTAAATTAACCATATCTGCTAGCTAAAATTACTTCACCGATCATTATCTATTCATATATAATTAGATTATGATAGACGAATAAATAATTAAATAAATTAAAGCTTGTAAATTATTCCATTCATCGATTTGTCATAAAGATTAATTATGAAAAGGAAAGAAAAAAGAAAAACTACTGTTATTGTTTTATAATTTGATTTAGTAAAAGTTTAAAGACTGTATCCTATCGTAATACTGATATCGATATAGTTGAATGATAACAAATTAATAGCTGTATCCTATCGTAGTTAATTACCTATTAATCAAATTATAAAATTGATAATACATATGTTATTTTTAAAATTTCAAATAATTAAATAAACTAATACCACTTTGGAATGTGATAAGAGTTGTAGAATAGCAGGTGTTACACGAGCCCAAAAATCTAAAATATTTGCTAATGATGAAAACTGTGGTTCATCTGATATTGTTAATGCTGCTCGTTCACAATAAACTGTCCATAATTGGCATAAATGAAAAGCATGAAAAAGTGCCGACATATGAACCACTGATTCCTAAATAATTTAATATAATAAAATAATACTTTTAAGCTAATCAAAAAGAAAACATATCTTAAAAGATTGAAGTTTAATTAACCTTTTTAAATTTAAATTTAAAATGAATGAAATTTTTTTAAAGGTAAAAAGAAGGAAACCTTTGATTGATCAGCAAAACCAGCAAGTACAAAATGTATATAATCAGCCATATATTGTGAACAATAACTTATTGGTAATGGTTGGCATGGTTGATTAGCTTGAAGTGCTCCAAGTAATAGCCAAGAAAGTAATCGGACATTTGTTACAGCATCAGCAAATGCGCTTGGCGTAGATTGTGTTACAGATGGTGGTAACATTAGCCATGGTAGATAACGATTCTACAAATACATACAATTATTTTTGAAGGAAGATATGTGATTTAATTAATTTGAAATTTTTTCTTTGTTTATTCATTTCCAATTATTTAATTGAATATATTTTGGTGAGAGAAAAAGTATTTGAAAGAGAGAAAAAAAGTGCAATATGATATTTATAAAAAGCATTAACAATTAATTTATAATGAATATTTAATTAATCGATAATTAATTTTATAAGAAAAATAAAAGAATAGAAATAGATTGGAAGTAATGAAACATTAAAGAGATTTTTGTTTTTGTTTTTTACCATGATATGAATGATAATTGAGTTTAGAAAAATTTTGTATTTATATTCAAATATATTTGTAGATGAAAGATAGTATATGTATGCATGGTTGAACAAATAATGATCAAGTTGAAATTACCACAGTTCGAGAATCACGTGCGCCTGATCGACTCATTTCAACAGCAACAATTTGTGCTATCGATGATTTAATATCACCACCGATACTGTCCGAATTGGTGATTTTCTACAAAAGAAATATATTCTTATTTAAATTAAACTTAAATTATTCGAATTAAAAATTAGGAGAGAAAAAAAGGATTCTATTTTAAAAAAATATGAAAATTTTATAATTAACTATATTTTTGAAATGCATTGTCTTAACAAAGACAATTTCTACAGTTAACATATATGTATATGGAAATACCTTAATTTCAGTTAACACATGTAAATCGGACATGAAATCAATAAAATCAAATATATATGGTCGAACTGCATCACAAGCTGCAGTATTATACTGAAAGTTTAATTTTGGTTAATTAGAATAACAGGTTAAATTATTTTAATTATAATCAATTATTAAAAAAAAATTTTCAAAAATTTTATTTATTAAAATATAATTCATTTTTAAGAAGAAAAAAATCTTAACAAAGACAAATCTTTACAGGTAACAGATGAAACAATTTAATTAATTAATTAATTAATACAAAATTTATTATAATCATTTATTTGTTCAAATAGAAGAAGGAAAATTTGATGCAAATTATATTAATCTATCAAAATATTTTACCTAAAATATTTATTGATTTTTCAAAAATTAAATATAATCTTTAAAATTGAATATAATAATTATTCCAATCAATTATTAGTACCTGATCATCAACAATTTCTTCTAAAACATCTTCACCAATACCTTGTAATATTAAATTGATAATTATCATATAATTATGCTCGTTCATATCACATTTAAATTTTAATGCTTGCACAAGCTCCGAAACAATTGCTTTTGTTAAAAATTGCTTATCACGATCCTGTAAAAATTTATCTTTACAAAAAATTATTCATTAATATTAATAACTATAATATTAATATAAAATCATAATGTAAAACATTCGTAATATTATTATTTAGTATTAGTAATAATATAATCTAATAGCAGTAGTGTTACATAATATTAGTAACTATAATATTAATATAAAATCATAATATAAAATATTCATAATATTATTAATAAGTATTAATAATAATATAATCTAATAGCAGTAGTGTTGCATAATATTAATAACTATAATATTAATATAAAATCATTATAAAAAATTATAATATAAAATATTCATAATATTATTAGAAATGATAGTTATTAATATTTTTATTATAATTAATAATTAATTGAAAAAAAGATGAGATATAAAAAAATGAAAGGTAAGAATTGAATAAAATAATAGTTTAAAAAATTAAATTCACCCTTAATAGAGCACGATTACATGCGGTACAAACAGCAAGAAGATCTAATAAATCAGCTTTACATTCATGTAATGCTTCTGTAAGCCATTTGGAAAATCCTTCAACCAGCGATACTGAATTCTACAATAAATTATTGAATTAATAAGATTGAATTTAAATCTCAGGTAAGTTTTTCTTTTCAATCAATTTCTATCATTTTAATTTTTCCTTAATTAATTCATTAAAGAGAAACTTTTTCTCACTACTAATATTAAACTACAAATAGTAAAAGAAGAATTAACAAAAATTTAAACCTTAAAGGTGGAAAAATTATGCACTCGTAAAACAGTTACCATTATACCAATACAATTTTTTAATTCAGTACGAATTGGATTTCTATCACTTTGTACTTGAATCTATAAGTTATTGATTTTAAGAAGAGAATTATCAAATTAATTTAGAGAGGTATTAATTAGTGGAATTAAATAAATTAATTACAATGAAAATTAATGTAAAAATTAAAGCGAAAAAAAATTGAAATTGATTCTTTTTTCGAACAATCAAATCGTCCCTTTTATCAATGATAAATACTATGTTATCAAATCATATCTTTTATCGATGATAAAGTAATAATGGGATAGTGATAACGTAATATTGAAATGGGAAGGAAAATGAAGGTTAAAAATAATGAGAAGGAAATTGATGCGAAATAGTTAATTACCTAAAAGAGAGAAACTTTTACATAAGAAAATGAAAACAAACTTTAGAAAGATATTGGCGAAAGAATGAATCGAGTAAATTAGTAACGGTACTCCATTGAGAGAAATATGCATCAGCGGATACATATTCCATATATGCTGATAAATTAAACAAAATTCGCGATAAACGATTAGGCCAATCTTCCAGGATATCCTCAAATCATTTTTTCTAATTCATCTTTCTTCATCTACATTATTAATATCATTATTATTTTTTTATCATTTATTATCGTCATTGTCATTTGCTCACTCACTATCATTATCATTTATCCATTATTATTATCATTATCATTTATTCGTTGTTATCATTATTATTTACTCATTATTATTACTATCACCATCATCTATTCATTATTATTATTTTTATTCTCATTGCTATTATCAATTATTAATTAATATTTATCATTTATTATTTGTTATTTATTATTTATTAATGATATCATATTATACCATTAATAAGATTCAATCATTGTTTTCTGAAAATTTACGTCATTTGATTCAAATTTTAGAAAATGATAAAAAATTATATTAAAAATTTGAAAAAAAAAGAAAACTAACTTCAAGTAGATATTGAATAACGGAAACCGGATTTAATTCAGGAAAATCAGCTAAAGCAAATGATATTGTTGACCAAAACTGATTAACTCGTTCAATATTTGTATCAAATAATTGTAAAAATATTCCACTTGATGAAAGCTAAAAGAATTTCATGATTGATATATCATCAAAATTCTTTTAATATATCTCTTCATAAAATATAATCTTATATGAAAAACTAAAAATAAAAACTTATCTAACTATAAGAAAATATTATCAGGAATCTAATTTCTAAATAGAATAAAAAACAAACTTGATGTAGTAAAACACGAATTAATTGTTTTGCAACACTGCGACAATTTCCCGGAACAAACATTGATGTATCATGCCACGGATATATTGGTTTTTCAATTAATCTAAATATTACAAACTTCTCATCAATTCCCAATTTCCACCTTCTTATGTATCATCATTATTACTTATATCAAACCTGGTGACAGATTTGATAATACGAAAGAGTAGTGGAGCTGCCATCGCAGGTTCTCGATGAACAAATGTTTCCAAAGCAATCATACACAATGATAGTGTTTCTTCATCAAAATTTCCAAGTAATTCATTACAATAACCGCATCGATAACCACGTTTATCCATGATTACATGATTTGTTGCTGTAAATATAACCGTATATCATGATTATATCGTGATCTGTTGCTATAAATATAATACACATTTATTCATGATTACGTAATTTGTTGTTATAAATATAATATACATCTATCTATTCATGATTATGTTCTATTCATAATTACTTTTGATATAAATAAAACATATTGACGCATGTCTATTCATGATTACGTTCTATTCATAATTACAATGCTATAAATAAAACACATTGATGTATATCATCTATTCATGATTATGCGATTTGTTGCTATAAATTTATATAAACATAAGTTTATAGCTTAGAGATAATTGATTTCATATGATATTTATCTTATCTCTCAACTGACGATAATATCATATGAAATTAATTATCTCTATTTTGTGAAATAACTTTTTCGAATTGAAATTAAACAATTTGACAATCCAATTTGCTTTTTTGCAAATAAAAAATTATCTGTGCTAAATTAATATTAATCTAATTATTATTAAGTTATAAATTATTATAAAGAAACTTTTCCGAAAACGACGTTTTGTTCGATCTGATTGCTTCTTATTATCATTAACACCTTCTTCTTCAATTGCTTCCAATTTTCCTTCATTTATCTGAAACAAATAGCAAATAGTATCTTCATTATGATTCAGATACACATAATTAGTCCTTCTGAAATTGTCGCTAATTTTTCAATTTCCTTCAAGAGATCCGAAAGCGAAATGAAATTTAACTATAAAATCAAATACAAAAAAAACTTAATATTGAATTTAAAGATAAATTTATGCTTCAATTATTAGTTATATAATCAAATTCACATATAATATATTCATAAATATCATCTAATAAATAAAAACAACATTTGTAGTAAAATATTTAATCCTAAAAAATTTTCCAATTTTAATTTCATCAAAATATTTCTTGCATTTTTGATTAAGTGTGATCCGTTATCGAAAATTCTTTTTTATATTACTATAAATTTATGAATATTTATTTCTCCACATAACTTACATCAACAACAGAGATTGATTGTGAGCATGATACAGTAAGTGTATCAGGTCGATATAACTTATCAGCGCCACAATCACTTTCCAATTCTTCGTCATCAGAACTTGGTAATAATTCCATTTCGATTTTTGCGGGTGGTGCTTTCATATTACAAATATGAACCTTAAGATATTTCAATAAAATTTTAAATTTATGAAAAATATTGTACAAAGAAAAACAATTTAAAATTGTTCATTTAAAATTAGGAAGAATAAATTATTCAAAAATTTTAATTAATTTCATTCAAAAATCAATAAATAGGATAAGATGTAAACATTGGCAGAGATTATTACCTCAGCTTCAAGGGTACAGATAATTATTGAAATAAGTTTTTGCAAATATTCGCTAAGAGGTGGCGCATCGTATCGATACTATAAAAATATCATATCAGTAATGATATCTCAGAATAATAATCTATATGTTAAATAACAATTAAAGTAGCATTCAATGAAGAAAAGATAAACTTCGAAGAAGGGAAAAAAGGTAAAATTGAATTAGAAGTTTGGAACAACATGAGTAATTAATTAACTAATTAAGAGTAAGGTGTTCAGATAAAATGAAAAATAAAATGATGTGTAGATAATTTAAACATTCATTCATTTTCTTTCACGTTTCACGCGAACAATCCCTAAAAGAGTAATCCTATATGAAAAAATAATTTCTTACTTTTATTCCCAAATTTTTCTAAACTATTCGTTTAATAGTTAACATATATTAATCATTATATATATTAATTACTATATA